TTAGCGTAAATGCATGTTAATGCGTTCAAAACAAGAAAAAATTGTTTCCGGGTATTAATCTCTTGAATCACGGCGCTGAATATTGACGCAAAAATATTTCGGGCATCGCGCGCCCTTCCCGCGTCACGTGTAGGCGTCTCGCATCTCTGATTGGTTGTTGCGTCTTAAGATGACTGAGCCGACGCGCGTTTAAACAATTTTTTGTTCGATTTATCACACTTCACAGAGAATTGTCGCCAATGGCCACTTCTTTTTGTTGCAATATATAATACTTCACGGAGAATTGTCGCCTATGGCTTCTTGTTGCATTTGAATCTACATATATATAAATCTGTCCATAGCATCGAGTCTGTTAAAATCTATTGTATAGATCATATAACTGTGAATAGCTTATTACGTAAAACATTATATCTGGAGCATTTCATGATAAAGTGAAATTAATCTTCAATTTGCTTTGGATGTGTGACAAGGGCTTTATCTACAGACCTACAGGTGGTTACACAGGCACACTGTGTGGGTCAGCGTCGATGCCGGGCTCACCTGGAAAAGTTATGGTGATAACAAAAAATTGTAAGTTTTCAAGTAACAGCAATGGTTCAATTTGATGGCACCATAAATCTTCATGCAACTGTAAATTAAGTTGTGCATGTAATAAATGTATAATGAATTTGATATAATGTCGTCTATCTTAAGTTTATACAAAACTTTATATATTGTACGTAGTGTTCAAATATTACTGCCTTTATTAAAAACAGAAGTAAATAAATACAGTCGACATGACGACACACTCAAGTAACATCGAACTTATATCAACGCCACCATCAAACACAAAAAGAACCAAACATAAAGATAAATAAAGTGACAAATACACATAATCACAACAACAATTTAGGGTTCAATATACGAACTAATTTCACTGTTGACGTCTACTTACATTTTCCTTATTTTGTGATTGATCAAGTTTTCTTGCAGTGAACGGTTATCTCTCTAATTTGTCGAACTGTTGCAGCTCCGAAACATAATTATAACTTTAATTCTAAAGATAATTTTCACACTGTCATTAGTCTTACCCGACAGCCGTCTCCTTTCCACGATCCCTGCTCCGCGTCCACCCCGGCATCCCAGAACAGACAGTTCAGCCGCACGATGTGGACAGAGTACAGGCATCCTGACGGGGGACATCCTGTAAAGGCAAGCATAGCGTGGATCACAGTAAATACTTGCATCACATAAAGACCCAAATTCCTACAAGGCTCTACCGTTTCACCAAGACTGCTACAGATACTCCCATTTCCCTCAGACAGTCAGAGATTGGAACGCGCTTCCTTGGGACGTAAGGCCACTCTGATATGGATGACATCCGCATGTCGCCCTCAAAAAAAAAAAGATCACGTCATCCGAGGCTCTGGCCTAGCTCTTAGGCCTGGGTAGCCCATGGTAGTCAGCGACAATACGGAGCCTGTGGTAACTCTGGAGGACGGCACCCAGGCTAACGAAGCTCCACAACTCAAGAACTCAGTACATAAGTACAGTACCTATTCATAAATGCCGCAAAAAGCCAACATGTGCCGGCTTGTCGTATACGTCACTAAGTACTGTCGCGAATTCACAATACCAGCTTTGTATTCCTGTGGTTTAGTAGCATTTTTATTTTTGGCCGGAATTTTTTTTATTCGCCCGCGCGCACTAGTTTGGGGGTCCTCAGAGGATGTCATCCATGAAATTAAATCGGTGTGGCCTAACTGAAATCACAGAACCTGACAACTTCAAGGAAGCCGCACTGCTGCACCTGAAGAATCACGACGTAGTGCCGTTGAATGGAAATGCCTTATATATTCCTGGACATTCGAAGTGCATACTGATAGTTTTCAACGCAATAATTCAAGATATTTGTCCCCATTCTTGTGGTCGGCCTTTTTGTCACGCTCAAAACTTTATGACCATTCCAACAGCTAGAGTTAGAAACATTATCGCAATGAAGGATGGGCCCGAATATTTGAATTACATCCCGAATTTCCAGAATGCACTTCGAATAGTCAGGAATTCTAGTATACACATTTTTCATTCTGGTGGCATTATGGCTCATTCCGTTTACAATTTGGAGGAAGTAGAAACAGTTTGCCAAGTCTCCCTGCTTTAGCGTGACTCTTGCTGATTCCGAATGTGTCAAGAGACCTTCCCTTATGCTGAGGTCAAATTTCCAAACCGGGGCCCGGCCGGACTGTTTAGATTAACGACAAATCAACAATTTATATCAATAATAAACGCAAATAGTTCCCATTATTAATTTTATCAACTTTTTGTGCTTTGTTATCTTTTATATCATGGATGACATCAGCGCGCGAATTCATTTTCGCCTGATTTTGGGGAAAAAAAGAAATTTTGTTGCCCTCTGACAGTGGTCACCATGCCAAAAATGGACAAAGATGTCTGTTACCTTGCCGGAAGGTGGATGGCAGATGGCAGATTCAATGTTTTGTTTCTTACTTCGATGCAGTGACATGTGGTGATGGCTGTGTATATGTGATGTTCCCACTGGATCAAAACCATTTGAACAATAATTGAGTCAAAATTTGAAAATCCAGGAACCTTGTTTTTCGGCCCGCCATGGTTTTTTTTCGCACTCTCGCATTAGATTTGGAGTCTGTGGAGGATGTCATCCATATAATTTACTTGCTGTGGCCTTACCGTCAATCTGCAGTCCTAAGGTGTACTCCTCTGTGCCGTTCTTCTAGTTTTGGCCCCCTATTGGCTTGCTCGAGAACTGCAGGGGCATTTGTTTTGATAATATTCAAACGAGGATAACTCAAGTACCGGTTTGACAGATCGTCATGATTTTTGGTGTGGCGATTATGCAAATTTGGATGTAATTTGCATAATTTATAAGAATATTCTAGAAATTAGTTGCATTACATGGTAGGACTATTCAAGTATATGTGACAGAACGAGAAAAACACAGACAGATATTGATTATGTAAATTAATAAATTAATTTGCATGATTAATGAGAAAATGTTGTAATTCAGCAATGGTAGCAGCCTGGACTTTTATACTTAGGCCAAGTTAGGGTATTTGAAATTTAAGTGAAGGTGAACATCATTAAACATAACTTATTCAAATAAGAACCTCCTTTGCATAATTTATGAGGAAATGCTAGAATGGCATTCTTTGTTAAGATAAGACTGTCTATTTGTGAAGAATATGATCAACTGATATAATTCATGGAAATGAGGATCCTATAGCTATTTGCATGATCAGGGGGAATAATCTATAATTTGTCAGTCATAAAGTTTAACATCATTTGGCGAAGGTATGAGATCGTGGAACTCTAGTATTACATTCAAGTTACCCACTTTCTTCAAATAACACCGAGTTAAATCGTTGGTAAGATGCACAATTTTCTCAACTGCTGGATCCAATTACCGGGTGTCTCTGTCGTCTCATCCCGTCAGGACATGTTAATATGAAAAGAAGTTACGAGACACTATCAGCTTTACATTAAAACTGACTAACACCTCAACAAAAACTGTACCTAGTGACCGCGTAAAACATATAACGTTAGCAACAACTAGCCTCCTTCGCAGTCTTGTTGGGCGTTTCGCGAAACCTTCTCTCCGTGGCAAAAACTCCCTTGGCAGCAAATCGTCCCTCGCGGCGGCATATTACTCGCGTCGCTCAGAGAAAAAATAACGCCGACGCCCGACAAGACTGCGAAGGAGGCTAAGCAACAACAACTAGAAAATCAAACCGCTTGACCTGCAGCTGTGTGTGCAAAATTGGCATGAAATGTTTGGAAACTTGCAACCCGCCCACGCGACAGCTGTTACAAGTGTTGGCGCAATAAATGTTTGGTCTTGGCCATTAAGAATTGGGTTCCATTATAATATCCAAGGGAAATCAGAAGCCCCGCCCCCTTTCGTCAAAACATAGATAAGGCAAATTCCTGCTGGACATGCAGCAACTCTCTCATTGGTCGAACCGATAATTGCCACGCTATCATTGGTTGAACTGCTAATTGTAGCGACATTCGGAATTGCTCTATACGCACACGTGCACATTCCAAGAGGTGTTTTTGAACATCATGGAGAAAAGTCTTTTTAGCGCATTATTTTTAGTACAAATATACATTCAAAACATATTAAGAATTGACAAATCAGACCTAACTTTAACACCTTGATACCGTCTTCGGGATGAGAGGTAATCCTGTGGTGATCCCGATCTCGACTTCACTCAGTGTTATACTTTATGCTCTCCCAGTATTTGTCTAAGTTCGTCTTGAACTCATTTACTGATTCTGAGTTAATTACGGCCTGTGGTAGACTGTTCCAATCCCTAAAGACCCGGACACTGAATGTCTGTCGTCTAACTCTTCCTTTGGCCAAAGGGACCTCCAGTTTGCAACTGTGCCCTCTTGTTGGTCCTTCTGTTCGCTTTGTGAAGAAGGATTCGAGTTGGATTCTCTCCAGCCCTGTTGCTAGTTTAAATACCTGTATCATGTCTCCTCTGCGCCTCCTATACTGTAGGGAGGGAAGACCTAAGGTCTTCAGTCTCTCCTGGTAGGGTAGATCCCTGAGATTCAGAGGGAGTTTGGTGGTCACACATGGTCATGGAAAATGTTTAAAAATAAACGGAGGAAACTTCTTGCTGAATATAAGTTCTATTAGAATATGACATTCTTTACTACTTGTTAGGGATTTAGGGAAAAATGTCAACCAAATAGCTTGTTGTTTACCTGTAGGAAAAAAAATGTGTCTCCGAACGACGCACTTCATCCCAGCTACTGGTACCTCGCCATTTTGTTGTCTCCAAATTTCACTTGGTCAGAAAATCCACATTTTCTTCTCAAAACACCACACTAATCGTAACAAATCTACCAGGAAACTTTCCCCTTGTTCTACAGCACGGCATAGAAAGACGTTTTACCGACAAAGACTCGAAAAGTTCCAGAAAAGTTGCACAAAATATTAATACCCCAGAACATCCCCGTCGTACCGAAGCGCCATTTTGAACGCAACATGCCGAACAGCTTTTACATAGAAATGCAAATTTGTGGCGGCCAAGCAACCACTAGTACTCTTTCATTGGTCGAACCGTTAATTGCCATTTTCTCATTGGTTGAACTGATACGTTGGTCAACAATCAGGATCGGCCTATTACGTACACGTGCACATTACAAGAGGTGTTTTTGAACCACATGGAGAAAAAAATAAATTTTTGGTGCATTCTTCTTTTTTTTAAAATATGAATTCACAACATAGTATAATTGACAAATGAGACCGACACATACAATTACCATACACACACAAAGAAAGAAAATTAGCCAACTTAGAAGCCTTTATGATAGTCTTAAATCAGGAATGGTCGCTCTGACATGTCAAAAAATCACCATTTCACACGGAACACTGGTAACTTGTTGTATGTCCTTTACTAGTTGTTAGGGAATTATGTTAGCCAAATAGTTTGTTGTTTACCTGTACGGAAGTCTTTTCCGAATTTCTCCAAGTTTAGGAAGTCCGTTTTTTGTTTATTATTTGTTTATTATTTGCACGTATAAAAAAGTTACATAATCAAACAATAACAATAAGAGAATATGCGGGGTAGGCCAGAAACCTAGGTGGTTCTTTAAAGAGCTTACCCCAAACAAAGGTAACTATGATACATGACAAAACATATTTGAATTAAACATCAAAATTAAACAATGAAATAATTGATTAATTAAACAAAATCAAGACACAGAAATAATAACTGAAGTGTGTAAACTAGTTTTATAATTCAGGTCGCTGTTGCAGAAATAAACTGATTAGATAATTAACATAAAAATTAACGATTAAAACAAATGATTGAAAAACAAGGAAAACAAACAAATCAGATTGTGGTGGTACTGGTTGTTTGTAAGTTTTCGTATCGTCTTGTGTTTTAAAAGACTGGCACTAATTTCATGTTGTCCTGGCGCTGCATTTTTTAAATTGGTGATTATATCGTAAATTTCTGTCGATGTAAGAGGCCTTACACAAAGGTAACAGTAGATATTAACATATTATAACCTATTTAAATGCAGTTAAAACAAGTCGGAACATACATCATTAAAAACAATAAGATAAAATCAAGCCACTTCTGTTACTTCATATGAAAATAGATTAGCTCTTTTTGAAACGCCTCAGAGAATAATGTGCACATCTTACACCTTTAAAAAATGCCCAGGCACAAAATTCTTGTACTTCTTTTTATTTTAGAAGCTCACTACATTCCGCTTCGGTCCTCCCTTCTATGCAACTTGTTAGGAAAAATGGGACATTTCATTCTCCATGGTTTACAAAAGAGAAGTCAAACCCTTCATACATAGTTCCAGACAATTGCCTTTTATCATTATATGTACAAACCAAATCTATGTTCTTTGCAATTGTCTTCAAACAGAAACTTGTGACATGCAAGTTGATTACAATAAATCTGAATCTTGTATCGAAAGGAATGCTAATTATATAAGTCAGGTCGGATTGGTCGTACACATGTATTTGGTACAGACACCCCCATCCTCGTAGGGCCGTGCAAAATGATACAATTGAACGTAAACTCGCTCTACTTGGTGATGTGGGGAAATCAAGGGCAGAAGACAATTGGTCCCGGTGTGAAAATAAATGATCATTTAGGTAATAGTAAAGGTTGACATTAGTGGGATTATTTGTCCCTGTTAACTCGAAGAAGAAATGCTAATGCGACCGAGAGACTATTGCCAACTTACAGTCAAACTCTGCTTCTTTATTAGTATCTTAGTATAGATGCTGAACATATTTGCTGGTTAGTTTACATTATAGATTTTGATTTCTAATTAGATTAGTCAGCTCGCACGTTTTTGGATTTCAAAGCAAATCATCATCACAAACGCCCCAGCTCGCTGTCATCTGAAGTTTCTCAACACATCCACATCGAATCACCAGGCCACACAGTCTCTCTGGACAAAGTTAGAATACTGGACACTGAACAGGACTACTTTCTAAGAGGCATTAAGGAGGCTATATATATCAGAGCACTTCAGCCTTCACTTAATAGAGATGGTAGACGATATAAACTCCCTGGCACTTTTGATCAATTGCTTACGTCACGTATCAGTAAAGTCTCGTGTGAATAAGGTCACGTGTTTGTAAACCGTAAATCTCGCGAGATCACGTTGTGAAGTGATTGGTCATTAATTATCCTGATGAAGGCGACAGTGGTCGCTGAAAATTTGATCCCTGTAAATAGTGTGTTGGAATAAAGTTTAACGTTTTACTATGATTACTACCAACACAGATGAACTTTCATGATCATCATCATCATGAAAACTCCATGATCACTCAAAAATATAGACGTTCAGGAAAATCAAGCTTCAGAAGTACTTTCTAATTCTACATCTCAACACAAAGACTTTATAAGTCAAAACACAAACGATTCACACACTTCTCATTACAATCGACTGGAATGGTTCTATAATATAATGGCTGAGAATTTGCAACCACCCACTACAGAGTGAAGTACGTTAATACACCTGAACTCCTCAATATGATAGATTATACCTATTTTGTGATACGAACACAGCAAAGAAAACGAAGTACACATCTAGAATGCCCACTGTGCAATGATACGAGCAATACTTTTCTTAATAAGATGCAGTTAGAACAGAAATATGTACACCTAACAAAAGATAACATCAATAAACTATGATGTAATGGAAAAATTCTGTAAATTCATCTACAAGTGTCTAAAAAAAGAAGCATGTAAATCATAGGTATAGATAAAACATAGCATAGTTTTTCTATTATTTTTTGTCACTAACTTACTGCATTTAGCTACAGATTCAACTCCATTGTTATTGTCATTGCGGTAAAACAATAAGTCGCAATTTAGCCAATTTCATTGAACTGTTGCCATCAGAATTTTACTTTACTTTTATAGGAAGTAACTGTAAGCGAGTAATATGCTTTTATATGAAGTAACTGTATATGAAGTAACTGTAAGCGAAAACTTGCGGAAAGCTCTTCAGATCCATTTTACTACGAGTTGATGTCCACTGCAAGGTGGTAATGTCTGCTCACTTGTCTGTAAAGCCCCTGTCCCACATTCAGAGCCTTCCACCGAACACCAGCCGACCAAGCTGCATGCCCGGAGCCAGGATGTTGCTTTGGGGAGGGGGGGTCTTCTTACAGAATGAGGGACCAGCGGTCCTTTCCCGGAAAATTTTGGAAATCGAACCTTCTGAAATGGCATTTCCTGCGTTTTTGACAGAATTTCAAAGGGAAAATGCTCCCGTCCTCATTCGAATGTTTGAAACATTTTGAAACATTACGCTGGCTCGAGCTCCGCCCAACACCAGCCGACCTTGCTCGATCCCAACCTACTGTTAACGATAGAATGAAAATCAACATTCTAATTACTAAACATCAACACATCTAATACAGTATACAATCAAGCAGGGCTAATCATGAGTTTCGGCATTTTTTCTAATTACAAAGATCCTTTATGTATTTACATATTTTTGCATTGTAGTTGTTACATTTTAATATACGTATGATATAAGTTTGTCGATAGCATCGAGTCTGTTAAAATCTATTGTAGATAAAGGTAAAGATAAATTCGATAAATGTTAATAGTAAACGTAAAACATCATATCTAGAGCATTTCATGATAAAGTGAAATTAATCTTCAATTTGCTATGGATGTGTGACCGGGGCTTTATCTACAGACCTACAGGTGGTTACACAGACACACTGTGTGGGTCAGGGTGGATGCCGGGCTCACCTGGAAAAGTTATGGTGATAAGAAAAGTTGTAAGTTTTTAAGTAACAGGTTATTAGTTTAATCATTATGTCATCATTAATCTTTATGCAACTGTAAGTGAAGTTGATTATGTACTAAATGTATAATGAATTTAGTAGAATGTCGTCTATCTTTAGACAAAAATGTTAAACAAAACTTTATATATTGTACGTAGTGTTCAAATTTTACTGCCTTTATTAAAACAGAAGTAAAGAAATACAGTTGACAAGACGAGACACTCAAGTTACATCGAACTTATATCAACACCACCATCAAACACAAAAAGAACCAAACATAAAGATAAATAAAGTGACAAATACACATAATTACGACAACAAATTTAAGGTTCAAAATACGAATTAATTTCACTGTTGAAGTCTACTTACAATTTCCTTATTTTGTGATTGAATGACCAAGTTTTCTTGCAGTGAACGGTTATCTTATCTCTCTAATTTGTCGAACTGTTGCAGCTCCGAAACATAACTTTAATTCTAAAGATAATTTTCACACTGTCATTTGCCTTACCCGGCAGCCGTCTCCTTTCCATGATCCCTGCTCCGCGTCCACCCCGGCATCCCAGAACAGACAGTTCAGCCGCACGATATGGACAGAGTACAGGCATCCTGATGGGGGACATCCTGGAAAGGTAAAAAAAAGAAGAAAAATAATGACAGTTCTCATCCCCCTCCGTTAATATAGGAATCTTGACATGGATCACACAAACTGCTTGCTGGCTATTCGAAGTGCATTCTAGACATCCTCACTGCATTTATTCTAAATAACTGAAGTGTGTCTATAAGTGTTCAAAACTTTCGAGATTAATTTGAAGCGGGAGAAATATGGAACGACATTCAAAGTGTATTCTAACTGCAGCTGTAGGACTGTATTCTGAATATTCCTACAACATTTCAACAGCTTCCGTTTGGAACATTCTGCCGCATTCAAGGAAGAGCTGAAATGGACCCTAATTCTGTAATGAATGAATGAAGACCTTTATTGCACATTTCAATCACACTTGGCTAAGTACAGGTCACAACAAAACAAGATGAACGGATACAGTTAACAGATACCAAACAAACCAACTATCGTTATATAAATTCTAATTTAATTACACTCGGAATTTTTGCATTGCACTACAAATAGTCAAGGATATCCGAAAAATCTTATTCTGGTGACATTCTTGCTCAGTTCCAACCCTAATTTGAAGAGGGTAGTAATGGATGGGCATGCCACTGGCTGAGTGCTCTCACAGGGCCAGAGACAGGATGGAGTGGAGGAGGCTGATACTGGATGCCACCATAGTCCCCGACCCTCAGACATGAGGATGGGACTAGGTAAAGGTAAAGGTAACGGTAAAGAACCATTTTGTCTATTCTCCTTGGTTCAGCGTGACTCTTACTGATTCGGAATGTGTGAAGAGACCTTCACTCACCGTCCATCTGCAGTCCTAAGGTGTACTCCTCTGTGCCGTTCTGCACGGCTGTGTCCGGCTGCAGGACGGTGAAGGCGGTCTGGACATCGTCGTGAGGAGGCACGGTCTCTGTGATGAAGTCATCCATGTTCAGATCTCTCCTGTGTGTATAATAGGCATATCTTTGAGCTCAAACAGACTTTGCTTAGACCCACACAATATAAATCATGCCCTGTATTTCACTCCCAGTACCATTCAAACCGACTTGCACGCATTGGAACGCTACGCACACCTTACTCTTTCGAACGCGTTCTAGTGTGAAATGACATGGCGTACCTATTCCTCGTTATCATTTGTGTTCAAAAAGAGAATTACAATATCATAAATGGTATAACGTTACGATTTTAACATTAACTGACTATGACTTTAGGTCATAGTCTAATTATGGAAGATAATGTATGAGAACAAATTCATAACATAACATTAACGTTACACGACAGATGACGTCGTACTTACTGGAAGTCATAGTCTGTCTCGTTCGGGAAGTCTCCCAGCTTGCCGTACATGACGGCGGCAGGGTAGAGCGACACCAGGCTGACAGTCACGCCGTACGTCTGGTTCCTCCTGGCGCTGAAGCTCCGGAACACCATGGTGTCGTTAGGGAACGGGGAGTACTTCACCAGGCGGGGGGCGGGGAACATGTCAGGGGCGTTCTTCAACACCACAGTGGTCTCTTCAGGCAGGTCCTGCAAGTCAGAAACGATATGTCCAGGATGTTCTTATTGCTTGATTCAAAGGAGCGGGGAATTGTAGTTTTGCTGTGTGTATGTATGTAACGTTATCGTTATATATATATGTGTTTGAGTGTGTGTGTGTGCGTGTGTGCGTGTGTGTGTGTGTGTGTGTGTGTGTGTGCGTGTATTGTATGTGTGTATGTGTGTGAGAGAGTGAGTGTGTATCGTGTGTACACGTGCGTGCATGTATGTATATATGTATGCGTGTGCGTGTGTGTGTGTACGAGTAGCTCACCATGGGAAAACAAGATATGACCTTACCAACCTCGACGGGGGCCGACATCGTCTACCAGATACCTTGGCCCAGTGATGACGTCACACTTCAAAGAAGTCACATGACAAGCCGCACTGGGTCAGTCTACTGAGGAAGACCAGAGTGACTGGTCTAATATGCTCTGGGTGAGAGAACGTTTTTGTGTGTTGGATCTAAAGTTTGAACTTTGAACAAGAAATCACCTTGACTTCGAGTGTGTCCCCGTCCGGCCGTTTCAGCTCGATGTCCACTACAGACGACTTGATGTCCCGAGCCGAGTCGTCCCACACGTACGGGTTTCGCTCGTATCCCACAACCTGGATTCAAAAAAAGGATACTGGTAGTATATAATAATTGAATCTTTATTGCATGTTCATGCCCATGGGGCTAAATGTATATATCAGAACAGCAGAGTATGATGCTACATGTATATCATACTTAGTGACATAATACATAGAATAGAAGGAGGAAAGAATAACGTTAAAAGTACAAGAAAGTACTAGAAAATACATTCTATTTGATCTAGGTCTTGAAGATTTATTCTCTCTTTTTAAAGAAACTGGTGATGAATTCACATAGTTTTAATGTGAATTAAAACTGTACTAATGTTAACATTAGTGCATAAAGAGTACACAGAGTATTGATTTCATTGACAGTTAATTAGATTAAGTGGACACACCACACCACGTCACCGCATTCTCCTAGTGGAAAAGGCAGTCATCAAACGTGAACATGGATTTGGGTCTGACCGTCAAATATCACCCCTATGTGTGCGGGACTGGTAGAAACCAATAAATCACCTTTTGCAAATAGTATTTTGGGTGAAAAGGCACCAAAACTAAATCTAGTGTATTTGTCCTATAAAAAGGAATAAGGACATCCCAAAGCTGTGATATCATGAAATAATGCAGAAGAAATTACCACCTTCATCTCGACATCAGCAGTAATTCCTCCGCTGTACAGCGCATGCGCGTGTGGGAATGTCACCCTCCCGGCATGCGCAGCGACAGCCGCCCCTCCCAGCCGTCCTCCTGACGACTTGTCCAGGACCATCTGAACAGCCTTCGAGCCAAGCTCGACTCGCTCGCCGCTGTCTACACTGCCCAGCAGAGCATCGGCCATGTTGTCCAGGTCCTTCTGTAGACGTTGGGTCACTTCTCGTTGCTGTATTAAAGAGAATTCTTAGACCTCCATAAAACATTTGGTCTTGTGCATGTTTTTTTGCTCCTCTTCACCATGGTGTCTGCAAGCCAGAACTTGGGGAGGGGGGGGGTTGCCCTGAGGTCAGGAAGTTAACAGACGGTCACCGAAACGTCGGCTGAATAAAAGACTAAGTCTCCTTACTCAGTGTCTTACCAACCTGATGAAACTATTCACGGATGACCGAACACCAGACAACCTATGTTCCGACCTACTTCTAAGAATGATTGGAGGGAGTCCGGGGCGGATAGTGTTCGTGATCGAGGCCATATTCGACTGTGTGTGACAGCCAGGGGTTTGAAACAAAGACTCTTTTCCCCTCCTGTTGGTAAAAGAAGTTTCCATGGACTACTAAGTAAAAAAAGACGCCTCCACAGCATGCCAAAAACCTGGGGTTTTGGGGGTCTTCAGGGTCTTTGGGAGCTTTTATGTGCTATTTTCTGATTGCATATAGACAGCAGCCGAAGACCACCAAACCCCCAGTTCTATAAGCCTGCTACGAAGGCTAAAAAATGAGACTTACCAAGGCCCACTGCTGCTTCTGTTTCTGTTGAAGTTTCTTCTCCATCTGTTTCTGGAACTCGTCCCGTTTACGCGGAGGAAGTCGGCTCAGCGCTATGACGTCATCTTCGTCGTCTGTCACCGGTTCGGATCCTCCCGACTCCATCAGAGACGCCACAGTGTCGACAACAGCTACAGGCAATACATTGCATAATGAATGAATGAGGGTTTTCATTGTAAATGTTTGCCCCACGTGCAAGTCACACACTTTAACAAGAATTCGGAGATCTCATACCTCCATGAAATATAAGAGTTTTTACCTCCATGAAAAATGGAAGTATTGCTTTAAAATTTGTAAAGTCCCCTGCAGTTCCAGAACAAGCTGTTAGGGGGACCAAACCCACACCACTTATTCCTGACAGGAAAAGCTATCTGTCACCAAAACGTTAAGACCATAGTATGTTCAGGACAAAAGCTACAAAAACGTTCTGCTGCAGTACCAAGGTCATCCACCAGGAGGCCCATATTTGACCTTGACCTTTGTCTTCCTAAGACTTACCAGCATACCAAATATCATCATAATCCATAAAGGCGTTATGAATTTATGCTGACTACAAATGTGCGGAAACACAAACACATACATATACAGACACACACACGCACAGACACACACACAGACACACATACACAGACACACACACAGACACGCCAAAAACTATACCTCCGAATTCATTTTTCATGGAGGTAAAAATACCATTGAGGATACACTAGTACATTCGGCTTCCTCGCTCTTCTCGGTAATTTTAATACCATCGGTTAAGTTGGTTGGTATATCAAAAGACCTAAGTAATGTACATTTCACTTTGAATTCCTATTCAAGTATCTAAAGTGAGGAAAATTAGATTTACATGACTAAAAAGAGTATTCCTGTCAATATTACATACTTTTGTCTCCTAATTTGCATAAATTACAAAATCGGCAGATTATTGCCCCCAAGGGAGTCTCCCTGATTAGATTTGAAATTTGTGTCAACCGATTCTTAATTTTGCAACGGTAGATCTGTGATGTAATTGCATTATTATTATTATAAGAGTGTTTCAGTAGTTTTTTTCATTAACAACTTTGTTACTGTTGTGGATTATCGGGCTTTCTTCCTATCAATAATTCATATGCATATGCTATTTATATATGAAGGATAGAATATCATTAGCGTCTAACAAAAGAGTGTAGAATACCTGACGCTTTTGGAGCCAGTTCTTTCATACTGGCCCCCTCAAGGACGCTTTGCATGATGGAGTCAGTCATCGCTCCGACCACGTAACCTCCCTCAGCCTAGAATAATAACGATATACATATAATAGTATGTATTGTCTCAATGTGTTACATTAGACGTTAGAAATTTTTTAAAATAATAATAATAATAATAATAGATGGTTTATTAAAAGTAGTTTGCAGCCACCGGGCTGAATTGCATACCTTGTACAATTGCTAAAAAATCCTAAATTACAAACTAACAGTACTCATTGAAACTCAATATAGAAACTCATTAACACAATATAGAAACTCATTAACACAATATAGAAGGCTTACTATTAATTTCGTCATAGTTTGCGTTAACACATTTACACAAATATACGTGGCTAGCATTAACTACATTAACCCATTGGCAAGATTCACCATTTTCGCAAGTTCACAGTTCTTGTATGTTTAAATGTTTCTCTTCAACAGTAGTGACGACATTAATAAATGATTATTAATGTCATTTCTCCGCATAATTTTGTTGGGTACACTCAACCATCACATTGAAAAATAGCTTTATCGAGGATTTTTTAACAACACTTTGAACACATGGATATCTGACGTTTACATACTTTAGGGATAACAATTAATACTACATTGGTAGACATCACCTTTAGCACACTTGAGTACCTGTTTTACTAATAATTCTATATTGGTTATGCCCTTAGCTAGCATGGAGGTTAAATTCACCATGCCAGTCTAGTGGTGTGAGAGTATCAGTCAGACTTATTATGTTATACTTTAAGACTCGGTCAGCTAGAGCTTGTATTCCGCTTAAAGGCACCCAACGCGTTTTCAGGGCGACAAAACAAAGAATATTCTTTTTTTTTATTTATTTAACACCAAAAAGCAAACCTTGCAGCAGGGATGAGAATCCCTGAATTGAAAGAGTTTGCGTACAGAAAAAAAAGTTACAATAGGCAAGGCAAACACTATATACACACCCTCATATACACTATAATACATAAAACATTTGTACCAAGCAAAAAAAAACTTTATACAGATGAGGTGTTGATGAAATTTGTCTTATGATGACATTTACTGCCATTTATTATCATATTTTAGTCATTATTTCATACTTGAAGCGTTTGAATTATCTTTAAATCGAGCTGTGTTAGGCTTCTCTTATTTTTTGGTCATCGCTCATAAATATTCCGAACCAACCAATGTAACAAAACGAGCAACCCATTTTCGCCAGTTACATCGCATTTTTGCCTCACCGGTATCAGTATCAATCAATCAATCAATCAATCAATCAATCAATCAATCAATCAATCAATCAATCAATCAATCAATCAATCAATCAATCAATCAATCAATCAATCAAAAATGGTTTATTGCTAAAAACACGAACATTGCAGCAGAAAGCTGAATTGCGTTCAAAGATGTACAATCATTTTAAAAACGTTAACAACTACACAATCTCGGAGTCCAATTGTCGTAGTAGAATTGCACATTGAAAAATATTTACACGATATGACGTACATTTAGCTTAGTGTGCTATGGGATAGTATTGACTCAACATACAGTAAAAGAATGACCAGAGGATTGACTCCGACAATCCAGCTTTGCCACCCCTGAAATTACATTGTGTACCTTTAAGGCCACACCAAGTAAATTTTATGAATGACGTCCTTTGGAGATCCTGAATAAAACGCGAGAGGGCGAAAAAAACACAAGAAGGGCCATAAAAAACAAGATGCCTAGATTAGAAATATACTAAGAGACGACAAATGTTAGGACACAAATTGAATGAGGTGACACAGTGTAACAAGCAAGAAGTCTTTTATTCATCATCAAAACAGCAATAAATCAGGTGGAACAGCAGTTGTCTTCCTGTCCTGTTTTCGCGTTACGGGTTTCACGTCAATTTGACGATTTGCGGCACTGTCGTGACTCTTTGGTCATAGTTACAGGAAGAGGAATTTCTTGGGTTTTTTTTTCTAGGAACAGGCCAAAATCAATGCGCGCGCGGACGTCATCCATAAAATTTACTTGGTGTGGCCTAAACAGTATGATTACCTGGGCGTCCAATGGCAAGGTCCCACACATGGTAACGACAGTGTTGAAGATTGTCACCATCTTGTCGGTGGAGTCCTTGGCGGATGGAGTCCGCGACAGCTTGGCGAGGGTCTTCATCGCTTCCGTGCAGGTTGTCGAGTCGACCTACGAAACAAAAAGGTTGTAAACAAAAGAAAATGTTGTAAACAAAATAATCTGAACTGTTCTAGTACCCCATTTCCACCCAGCTCGAGGAGACAACCGTTAGATTTTTAAAAAGTGGCTCTAGTTAGTGGCTCTCGTTGGATCAACATGATAGTCCCTATCAATATGCAATAGCACCCAGTATAAGAATCGTGATATATATTGACAAGGTACTAGTAATCAACTTGTTCTAGGATAAAATAAAATGGTTTATTGGCCAAACATCGCCCGTGCAATCGCAGCCTTATAGTGCTGAATTGGTGCAGGGTTTACAATGGTACGATGATACAAATAGTAATAATACACATAATAATACACATAATACACATGATACATATTTGTTCCACATTTTTGTGGAACTGCCGCAAGGGTCTGTGCGGCTGCCATTCGGCGCCAGAAGGTGACCTCAATACGGCTTTCCCCAACCGAAGTTAGGTACCCATTCACACCTGGGTGGAGTGAGGAAAGTCGTGTTAAGTGCCTTTCCCAAGGACAAAACGTATTGTTGATTGTATACTTGTATATACTGTATCTGTAAGATATTCGTGTAGCGAAGTTGTGAATATTGGTTATATGAATAAATTTTTTTTAAAGTCTGACAGGGGCTTTAGCAATGTCTTACCTTTCCGTCATCTGAGGGAGAATCTCCACTCGGAAAGAGTTGGTCCAGTATCTCTCCAGGATCATCCAACTGTAAATCCGCTGTGGTGACCTCGCTGACAGGTAGGGAGCTGCTCTTGGGCGGTTCCTACAAGTAAACAAATCGTCCCAGTTTTTTAGCTACACGTATGGTAGACTTTATGCCTTCCCAGTTATTCACTAGGGATTGAGGTGTTCGAATATTCAAATACGCTTTTTTTCCTTGTCATTTGGTACAATGGAACTCGCTGTCACCAAGTACAGTAGGGACATCATCACTAGATAGCTTGTTTAGAGTTAGATGCACAAACGTTAGGTGTGACAAGTCGTTCGGTGTAGTATGCCGCCGCGCCGCATGCCATCCAAGCTGGTGTGTTACGACGAGAGGCGGTCATACCGGCTTTACAGATAGTTATAGATGTCCGATAAGAATGAAAATATTTCAACAGCTTATGTTAGATTTAATACAGCAGGACACTATGAAACTAAAACATTTCCTCTGTAAATCGAATGGCCTTACGTGTGAAATGAAAGTCACAGTTGATGTCGGAAACGGTTCGGTAGTTCTACCCTCTGGTTCTGAAAATAAAAAGAAAATAAGCATTTTATATTTTAATTTGTCTAACACAACATATATGGTCACTCACCTATTTTTGAAATAGTCAAAAAGTCTCAAATTGTACAATTTAAAAAGGTGTATGCTAGAAGTTTTAATGAATTGCTGTGGATATTATCCAAGCTTAAGGCACACAAATTTCAGGTCATTAGGGTTTAATGTCATCCTCCCAAATTCTTTTGTCTGAAAATTGCAACAAAAAAACAACAACAAATAAAACAATTTTAAAAGCCATTATAAATGAAGTAAAGAAACGTCGGGGATTTTCCCACTCTGCCTCGATACCAAATTCTAGGTCATTTGGCCTAAAAAATGAAGAAGTTCAATCGATTTGACGAATTGGCAGGCGCTGAAGAAAAAGAAACATATGAGGAAAAACGATTTATTTCATGCGTCCATACTATGTTATGGAGTGGAATATAAAAACACCGTAATGTACCCATGGCATCACCCGGCTGAGTAGTTGCAGTGGTTGTCATGAACGGGGTACTTGGTGAAGTTGACCTCTGGATGCTGTCAGTAGTTGTTGTAGTTGTTGGTGTTGGTGGGGAGGTGTATTTTCCCGTGGTCGGTGTCTCAGTAGTCATAGTTGTAAGGCTGGCAGGTGTGCTGGTTGTGACGATCTCTGTAATTGTACATACATTGTGTCTTGGCTTGGCTTCGTTTCCGAAGATTTCAGGGGCCCTTACATTAATATTGTACAAACATTGTGTATATAGTACATAAATGCTCACCAATGTACAAATTCCACCAAAAACTATACACGTGAATAGTTTCATCCTGTGTTATCATTTTTGTAGTATAGTAACTGTTGTGCAATTTACCGTTCGTTGTAACATTCTATTTTTCAGAATTAATGTTTCAATCATTATAAAGCCAGTCAGGATTTAAAAACCAGCGTAAAGCTGGCAGATCGCCGTGCTCTAAGCTTTGGTCTTCTTTCCAACTGTCACTATCCTGGGAAGCACACTACCGAGGCACTTACGATATTTTGTATAGAAATAATTTTGAACCTCGGGCAATGTCTGGAACAATATTTGAAGTGATAGACCTGTCATATGACATATGGACACTGTACACTAAATGACCTGTGGGGTCGTGTGGCTTAACGGCAGAGTGCTCGACTCGGAACCAAGAGGTCCAGGGTTCGAGTCCTGACATGCCACCGATCTTGTGCTTTTGGGAAAGGCACTTTACACGACTTTCCTCACTTCGCTCAGGTGAAAATGAGTACGAGCATTTGTATTGTCCCCTGTGTTGGTGGCGACATTAATATAGGTTGAAAAACTTGAGTGTGTCCCCACCACGTCTTGTGATTACATGTTGGAATATTTAAAAAAAATGACCTGTACAGGTGACGCCGTCTCCTGTGAACCCCTCCCGGCAGACACAATGGTACGTCCCTGGGTCGTTCACACAGAAGGTGTCCTCAGAGCAGGTCAGTTTACTGGAACACTCATCAATATCTAATGATATCAAAACAGAAGTAAGTACATCCGAGTAAAACAATGTTCACTACGTATGCATGTAAATGGTGCAAATTCAAAACGGGTTACATTCTATACAATTGGCGTCGCCACCGAGGCGTCGCCAAAAACGATAATCTTTTTTTGTAGCCAAGGCGCAGTGTATACAATCATCATTCGTAAGGAGAAATAAATTATAAATAGCTATAGCCGGTAAATAGCTATGGCCGGCCTGATACACGAAACAAGCAACCGTTTCCGTCAGCATTATATCATTTTTGCCTCACAGATATCAGATTGCTATATAGGATATATACGAGTACTCAACCAGCTTAGTACATTAAAAGAAATGACAAAAAATTGACGTTGTAAATCCAGTTTTAATGCCCTAAAACAATGGTGACTTAACGAAAGAAGGAATAATGCACCTTGACAGCCGCCTGGTCCCATCTCATAGCCCGATAAACACTTGCAGTCAAAAGAGCCCTCCAGGTTCACACATGCCGAGTTCCTCCCGCAGATCCATGGGCTCACCACGCACTCGTTTATATCTGTGGGACGGTATCTGTGTCATCAATTGTATCCACAACATGCTCACGTATGTTCACATATGTACGCTTTTTACCATCATGAAAAATGGAGGTATTGCTTTTAGTGGTATGTCTGTGTGTTTGTGTTTGTGTTTGTTTGTGTGTGTGTGTGTGTGTGTTGTGTATGTGTCGTGTGTGTGTCGTGTGTGTGTGTGCGTGTGTGTGTGAGTGTGTGTGTGTGCATGTGTGTGCACGGTGGTGTGTGCGTGTGTATGTGTGTGTGTGTGTGTGTGTGTGTGTGTGTGTGTGTTGTGTGTGTGTGTGTGTGTGTGTGTGTGTGTGTGTGTGTGTGTGTGTGTGTGTGTGTGTGTGTGTGTGTGTGTGTGTGTGTGCCTGTGCGTGTGTGTGTGTGTGTGTGCCTCTGTGTGTGTGTGTGTGTGTCTGTGCGTGTGTGTGTCTGTCTGTGTGTGTGTGTGTCTGTGTGTGTGCGTGTGTCTGTGTGTGTGTGTGTGCTTACATGTGTGTATGTGTGTGTGTGTGTGCGTGTGTATGTGTGTGTATGTGTCTGTGTGTGTGTGTGTGTGTGTCCGTGTGTGTGTCCGTGTGTGTGTCTGTGTGTGTGTCTGTGTGTGTGTCTGTGTCTGTGTGTGTGTCTGTCTGTCTGTCTGTGTGTGTTGATTAATTGCTGTGGCTGGTAAGTATCTAAGCTTATATGGAAGAAACTTAATACATTTCGGATTAATTGGGTTTAATGTCATCCTACCAAATTCTTGTCTGAAAATGGAAAAAATACAAATCAAATGAAACAATTCTCATAGACTGTATGAAATGACAAAAAAAGAAATGTTAGGGATATTTCTCACTCTACTCGATACCAAATTTCAGGTCATTTGGCCCGAAAATGTAAAAGTGAACTAGAAAGGCCGACATTTGCTTTGGAGCAAATTCAGCATGACTTCACCACATTTCATGACATGGCAGGGAAAGAAGGAGAAATACAAGGGAAAACTAGAAAGGCCAATATTTGCTTTGGAGCAAATACAGCGATGGGTTCACCACATTTTACGACATGGCAGGGAAAGAATGAGAAACACAAGGGAAAACAATGATTTACATTGATATAACTATAATATGAAGTAACATACAACTAAAACAACAGTTGGATAGCTATTCCCTACTTTATTGGTTAGGATTTGTAATTGCATAATGCAAACTGTTGATTTTCAAAATAAATAAAAAACGTTCATGCCCCGCATTCCAATGCTGGAGCAGAAAAGCTTGAAATACCTAGCAAAACACTTGAATAAAGACATACTGTCAGTATGGAAATGCTCTGTGCAGGTGTTAATCAAGTTAAATCCCAACAGCCAATCAGCAAGAAATGCTCTGTGCAGGTGGAAATGCTCTGTGCAGGTGTTAATCAAGTTAAATCCCAACAGCCAATCAGCAAGAAGTATAGAGGAAAGCTGCATGCCTATTGGTTGATGCCCTGCATTCCATTGTGATGACTCATGCCCAGACGTGGTAAACACGGCACACTAACACAGTAATACATTTGCTATAACACAGCCAAAAAACTCAAATAAAACCATTCTAAAAGCCTGTATCACAAAAATTTAAAAAACGCCTAGGGGTATTTGCCCACTGTACCTCCATACCAAATTTCAGGACCTTAGGCCCTAAAATGAAGAAGCTGAATCCATTTAAAAAATGGCAGGAGAAGAAGGAGGAGAAGGAGAAGGAGGAGAAGAAACATCAGAAAAAGCAATATGGGTTCACCACCACTTCGTGGTGTGGTGAACCCATAATAATTCTTTACATTGATATAACTATAGTATGGAGTGACAACAGTTGGATAGCTATCCCTTACATTATTGGTTGGGATTTTTGATTGCATAACGCAAACTGTTGATTTTGAAGATAAAAAGAAGCGTTTATGCCCCGCGTTCCAATGCTGGAGCAGAAAAGTTTGACATACATGTACAGTACAGACCACGAAATACGCATCAAGTTCTGCGGGACGTACCGCGGCCGTAATATTCCGCAGACGTCCCGCAATATCCCGCAGTGGAGCACTCGAGTGGGAGGGGGCGCTTCGTAAAGTGCGCCCAGAAATGCCGGACAATTTTGATCGTAAATATCGTACAATTTGTAAGTATAGCTATCTTGGATTCGGATGTATTGAGACATACATTTGTAATGAACAGATTCGTGTATAGTCATGTATGTATAAGCCCCCTTCTCTTCCGCAACTCCGTACGTCAACCTCTCCTATATACATGTAGGAGATTTCCTTCTTTATCAGGTTCGCTTTTGAACCTCCTTGATGTAACGTAACTATCAACCCGGCTAACACAAGCAGTGGCGTTTCCCATTACCAGTGGACAGTTTTACGAAAGTGCTGTGAAATTCTGCGGGACGTCCCGCATTTTTCCGCATGACATCCCGCACTCTCCCGTAGAACGTCCCGCACTCTCCCGCAGAACGTACCGCACTCTCCCGCAGAACGTCCCGCACTCTCCCGCAGAACGTACCGCACTCTCCCGCAGAACGTACCGCACTCTCCCGCAGAACGTACCGGACCCTCCCGCAGAACGTACCGGACCCTCCCGCAGAACGCGGCGCTCTCCTGCATGCAGGACGTCCCGCACTCTCCCACAGGTGTTAATTGAGTTAATCCAATCATATCCCAACAGCCAATCAGCAAGAAGAATAGAGGAAACCCGCATGCCTATTGGTTGGTTGCTTGCTCTGCATACCATTCTGATTAGTCATGCCCAAATACGTTAACACACTTCTATAACGCAAGCTCAAACTAAAAAGCTCAAATGAAACCATTATAAAAGCCTGTATCATAAAAATGAAAAAAAAAAAAACCTGGGGGTATATTTGGCCACTGTACCTCAATACCAAATTTCAGGTTAATTATTTAGCCCCAAAATGAAGAAATTGAATCCATTTAGAGAAATGGCAGACGACGACGACGGAGAATAAACATGAGAAAAAGCAATAGGACTTCACCACTAGAGGGTGAAGTCATAAAAATGACGCTTTCACCTGTGCAGGTGGGAGGACTGGCACTCCAGGTGCGGTCAGCGTGGCAGGTGGCCCTTGTCTCACCTATCAGATCGTAGCCGGAGTCGCAGGTGAACTCTAAGACGTCTTGGTAGAAGTTGAGGCCAGTCATTGCGCCGTTCGCTGGAGTTTCTGGCAACGGACACTGCACCGCTGTAATAAGGGAAAGATACTATAGTTCAGGCCTCGAAATTAACTTTCTTCCTATTGTCTCAGCACTTTCCCAAAAATAAATTTAAACTGTCCCGAAGTGAGGATAAACTCTCTCAATCTGATTTTTGGGAAGTATTGTTATGACTTCAACTTAGGGTTGCAGAGTAGACAGGAAATTGGGGGGGGGGCGCTTTCCCGGATAAACAAATTTATTGTCCCAAATATTTTTCTTACCCAAATAACATAGAATGCATGATATAAGATACACATATTAGCAATAATTTCAATAAAAACTAAGATATATCACATCAACCATAGACTGTACGGAGGCAAATTGTAGAAAATCTACATGTGGTAATTGTTGTTGAAAGTGTTTTATGAATGGAATCAATCAAATCAGAATTTTGATTTAACATTTCAAGGCATCCAATACATTTTCAGGGCAGCAAACCTCGGTTTTCAAGTCAATTTCCTGGTCATTCTTTTAATGTAGTATGTCGAAGCAGCCCTATACCATAGTATACTGATATCTGTGAGGCAAAAATGTGATGTTGACGGAAAAAGGTCGCTAGTTTCGTGTCGTAGGCTGGTTCTAGGTACATGTATTTATGGCCTGTATCCCAAAAATCAAGAAACTCCTCAAGTAGTTTCAAATCATGTTTTCAGTATGAAATGATGACGAAAATGTGCTAAGAAATGGCAGTAAATGTCAATATCAAATTGCATTGCCATTGGATACCAAGCCTTACGTGTGCACGTGGGGAAACTGTTGCTCCAGGTGCTATCCGCCTGGCACGTGACGCTCTCCCCATCCGCACCTACAAGGTCGTAACCAAGGTCACAGGTGAAGCTGACCGTGTCCTGGTAGGCGAAGTTGACCATGTCATGGTCAGGGTCAGAGCCGCTGGTCATCTCACCGTTTACAGGAACGGTTGGCTGCGGACACGGTACGGCTGATACAGGGAGACAGACATTTGTGCAAGGAGTATTTACAAAGAATGACCTTTTTCAGGCAAAAACAGAGGTTCTTCAACTTATTCAAGGCTTATTCTAGCAACTCCACATACAAAGAAGAAAATGATTTACTGAATAATAATAATAATAATAATAACAATAATAATGATGATGATAACAATAATAATAGCCACCTTCCTTTACTCTGCGTCATATTGGCTAATAATATATTACACACATATATATATATATATATATATATATATATATATATATATATATATATATATATATGTATAGAGTAACAAATTTAGAAAAAACAAAATAGTTGCTGAGCATGTGCCTTAGTCAAACAGGGTTAGAAGTGCTCTGTGTATTCAATGCCCTACCTAAATTGACCCGCTGGGCAAAACCTGATTTATTTATTTTGACATATAGGACCACCAGCCTTACCTGTGCACGTGGGGACGCCGCTACTCCACGAGCCGTCTGCCCGGCAGCTGATGCTTGCCTGACCGGTGAGACCGTATCCCGTGTTACAGGAGAACTCTGCCGTGTGTTCGTAAAAGAACTTGACGGGGTCTTGCTGGGAGCCAGAAGGAGTCATCGCACCGTTTTCAGGAGAAGTCGGACCTGCACATTCCACGGCTGAAACAAGGAAAATAACCTATTCACACTGCGCGAGCATTGGTTAAATTCTGCATTACCAAATTCACTATACATACAAGGATATAACGGTGGGCAACTTCAGTGTGAAGTCATTGAAAGCATCCACAACGCCTGCTAAGATGTGTGGTGCTAGGTCAGTCCCAGTGATGCTTAATTTATAGGTAGATACCTATGGGGTCATGAATTGATGTTACGCAATGTACAAGACAGTGGACTTCTATCACGTGGTGAGTACGACCTGTCTTGCCAATCACAGTGTAAACTTGATCCGCCCTAACCAATCGCAGTGCAGGTCTACACGTGCTCCTAATTTTGCCGCGTCTTCCAGAATTTTTCTCGGCCCACTCGAACGAACCACAGTAGCGACCGGTCCGAAAGGTTTGGAAACTACAAGTGATAATATGATATTCTCGCTCCCACTTCACCCAGTCAGCTGTATTGTCGATACATAGTTACTCGACCTTTGCTACGCGACTTCGGTACTGCCCCATAACTCATAAAGGCTGCACCAACGACTGCGCAGTGTAGATAGTTTACTTTTTAAAACAACGTGTGATTAAAAAAAACCTTTATCCACCAAGATAGACAAATGACGATAAGACACCTTAAACTTTGCGTCAAATTGAGATAACAGTTTGTTACATATTCTATACTTACTTTACATATTCTATATGAATTAAAACTGCTTGTGCTACGGAATTTCCTCACACTTGTGTAGGTTCCTTGTAGATATGTAGATCGTAATTTACTAAGTTGGTCTCCAAAGTAATTCAAAATGTTTTTTTTTTTCAAATTTTCCATTGTCTTAAATTCCTAACAACATTACACCATGCATTTCCATAAACCGTGGACAAATTATAAACTCCACCTGTTCTCACACCTACATGTCTTTAGAAACGAGAAAAAGTTGAACCTGTGCATATTTGTATGCTAGCTATAGATGCAGTAAGATATCAGACTTGTATCACTAGTACTGTTTATACATAGAACTTCATCACCATGACCTGTGTTTAGCTCGTAAGGGCATAAATGTACACTAAAGGTATTTTATTCATTCATCTTTCCCCTTCCCCTTCTCCATCCCTCCCCATTATTATTGACAAATCATGTATCATTAATTTTATATGCTCTTACATCTATAACTGCGTCCAGAAGCGAGAAGAAGTTGAACATGTAAATAGTAGATCACATTAGTAGGTATAGTTTAGTCATTGTTGTATCCTGTTCCTTGTCTAATAATGACCTGTACTTAGCTAGTTAGAGCACAAATGTACAATAAAGGTCTTTCATTCATTATTTTTTACATTTCCCAGGCACTGCCCACTGAGGTACCTTTCTGACAGATGTAATAGTTGCTATCGTTGCACGGGATGTTGTTCCATTTGTAGTGTTCCTGCGGCAGGATTTCCACGCACTGCTCTGTGCCTATGCTTGGCTGGTCAGGAGCCCAGTTCTGGTAGTCCAGGGCGCTACCATCGCTCCACACAAAATTTTCCTCAAAATGGTATGAAAGTAAATTTTAATCAAAAGACGAATCAAAATTATGTGAACATGGCTTGACATGTTTGGGCAAGAACATTAGAGAAGAAAAAGCACTGTAATTGGAAAAATATTTCGGCAGTAACGTTACATGTATGTTCTGTCATGCGTTGCATTGATCAGCGCCTGTTACATACTCAGAACATTTCCACCAATCAAACAAAGTTGGCTGAAGTTCGGGAGCAGTCTGACCAAATTAGGCCACGCCTGCTTGCCAGTACAAGTCAAATCGAATTTGAGTTAAATTTGAGTCAAATTTGATCCCCGAGCACGTCCGAAACACCAGGCAACCATGGCCGAACCCCTCATCCATGGTTGGGAGTTGGGGGGGGGGGCAGTGTCGGTGTTCGGAAGGCCGTATTCGGCCATGTGTGTGATGTGTGTGATAGGGCTTAACGGCAACTGCGGCTCTTTCAACACATCCTTTTCCCTACCACAACCAAATCAAGTCCCGTGTATTTTAACCAAATTACAACATAGATTTGTACATGAAATTTCGAAAATATCATAATTCAAACTTTATGAAACCGCTAATTATCGATTGAAGATAATTAAAAATGCTATCGTCAACTAAAACCTATAATGCCATTGCAAAGGCAGCTATGAAAACTATAGCTCACATGATCGGTAAGGTTGTCCAAACCAATCCATGTTTTTCCATCGGAATCATTGCGCCCCATGTTTCTGAGATTGGTCTCGATGAAGTCGTTCATTTCCTGAGTTTTGATGACGACAAGTTTTCCACCATCGCCACGCTCCCAGCAGGAATCATTTGCTCCTTGGTACGTCTGCTTGTCGTCGGAGAACTTCAGGCACGTTCCCTTGAACCTGATGTATTCACCCGGGCAGGGACCTGCGGTGAAACCAAAACGTTATTGGTTCAACATACAGTAAACCTGAGTGAAAATGACCTTTAATTATGTTTACCGAAGGAAAACATATTGTTTTTGTTCAGTTTCTTCTTCTTCTTCTCCAAACAGTGACCTATGACCTGACCAATGACATGATTTGTTGACATCTGTCACCATGGTTACATAATGTTGCAATTTCATGGTCTGCTCTGCTCCTGTCACCATATACTAGTAGTACATGACTTGTATGTGATTGTGTTTGAGTAAGAATTAACAGAGCAGGCCATGTCCGAAGGCAAACATTAGACATTTGCTCTACAAATGTTACTTTTCTAGTTTCTTCCGCAATCCAAGTGTTTTATTCAGCCAACATTTTGGTGACCGTCTACCACCTTTCTCATGGCAACTGGTTCACATTGCACGGCACAGGTGTTGTCTCTTATCGATGCGGTCCCAAATGCAACTTATTTACATATATACATATGTACAGTTACAGGGAACGGCATCTATAATAATGCGGTCCCAAACGCACAGGAGTGCTGTATAAACATAATTGTTGTCATTCAAGTATATAAACAGAGCAACAGAGAATGCGGTTTTAAACGCGACCGAGTCACCGAAACGTCACGACTTGGTTGCGGGAAATAAAGAGAAGAGTCTTACCATTTAGTGACTTACCAACATAATGAAATTGTTCATTGAGGCAGCACCGATGTTTGAATGCATTGCTCACTGAATAATTCATTGGGTATTACGGTAATGTGCGTAATTATTGTTGTACATTCCCTACGGCTAAACAACATGTCTGGGCTAAAAAATTATTTGGATACAACAAGATTATAACCCCCTTTCTTGGATGGACAAAATAGTTAACTTGCTTACAGAATTATACATTTTAATGCTAATTAGCCACCAAACGTACTCATGAACCCTGGTAGTACATTCAGATAGCCTCCACCAGACCTTCTGAAAGGGGTTTAGGATGGCACAATATATTGAATGGGATTCAAGCCACCCTAGCTGTTCCAGATGATAAGAATATAGTGGTAGACAAGACCTCTTACGTACTAGTGATTTGCCTAAGGAATGAATATGTAACTTACCGTGGCAGGAGAAGTCAGTGCCGCTCCATGTCTGGTCGGCCTGGCAGGTCCTTTCTGAAGATCCAACCGGAACAAACCCAGAGGAACACTGGAAGGTGACAACATCTCCGTAATGATGTCCACCGCTCATATCTCCGTGGTGAGGGGCATCCAGGGCTCCACAGGATTTTCCTGGAAAACAATGAAGACCAGCATTAGAAATGTTTAAATTGTAACAAAACGTCCATTCTCTCTCTCTCTCTCTCTCTCTGTGTATGTATGTATGTATGTATGTATGTTTCCGTGTGTGTGTGTATGTATGTATATGTATGTATGTATGTATGTATGTATGTTGTGCAATGTGTATGTGTGTGTGTGTGTGTGTGTGTGTGCGTTTGTAACTTGAACGTGAACACTTACGGACGCAGAAGTCTCCGGATTTTTCATATCCAGTGCAACAGTAGTGGACTGTTCTCTGGCATGTCGATGGTCGGTAGGCAGTCCGGTACCTACAACACGAATTCAGTCACAGAAGAGTTGGGTACATTCCTTGACAAAGACCTTATCTAATGTCCACCAGATTACAAAATAGGCTGATGGCCAATAGTTTGTCCAGCCTCGTTTGGGCCATCATATGGTTCATTTACCCGCCTAGGCTCACTCCCCCGGTCAATTATATTACCGACTTTATTTTTGTGGCATACAACTTAGCATGGGTACCGTCCGGATTTTCGCTCCGCAATGCTCGAATTTTTTTTTCGAGCGTTGCAGACCGAAAATCCAGATGGTGCCCAGGCTAAATACCACTGTTATGGTGTTAGCTATGACATGTGTATTTTTATGAATATGTCTAGGAATAGACTCCAATCAGTAGAGTAGTAGTATCGGTAGAGATGCCGATCGTCGATTCTTTGTCGACAGAATTAGAATTTACAGGCTCCAATCGTTATCTTTGCCAGCAGATCGGAGCCTCTACCCTGACATATTTATGTATATGCTATCCCTTTATAGTAAAACGTGGAACTTTATCCCAACACAAAGATTACACAGAGATCAAATTTTCAACGACCTCTATCGCCTTCGTAAGTAATGACCAATCACTTAAAAACGTAATCTCGAGAGTTACAGACACGTGACCCTATTCACACGAGACTTCACGGATACGTGACGTCAGCAATCGATCAAATGTGCCAGGGAGTTTATATCGTCCACCGCCACTGTTAAGTGATGGCTCTCAGGAAGACCTGCTTGGGGTCAATCTAAAAGCATGTGCATGTACAAACTATACACTTACAAGTTTTATAGCATTTTGTAAACTTAACAACTTGGTTGCAAATTACTATTGACCAGATGAAAGAAAACATGACAAATAGACAATCAATATCTGATTCAGTACACACCTTGTGCAAATCGCCCAGCTTGAGCCCCAAACCCCACAGTTAGTTGTGTACCGCTGACTGTACGCTACCTGGCAGTCATAGCTTTCAACCTTCGAGCACACGTTGTCCCTGTAGGACCAAATGGCGTCCAGTCAACCAAGCTGTTTTTTGCTTTTTTTTTTTGCTTCCAGTTGTATTATCTCACATTATCAGAGTAACGTTCAGTGCTTTTCGAACAGAAACCCAACAGTACCTAATGGGATAACTAATACATAATTTAAAAGATGCAGGTGAAACAATGCGTGCAGGCAACAACAACGCATGTATTGACGTGTACGTTGTTCAAATAGCAAACTTTATAGAACCCAGTGCAATTTCAGGACAAAAAAAATGCATTTTCAGACTCAATTTAATGTGGTTACTTGAATAAACAAATAATGATTTGAATAAACCATATCCAATAGCATACTGACATCTGTGAGGCAAGGATGTGATGTTGCTGACAGAAATGGTTGCTTGATACGCATTGTACGCTGGTTCTACCTATTTATTGGTGGTACCAAAAACTAAAGGGACACTTCACGTAGACTATTTTAAACACTTCAAGCATGAAATGACGTCGAACGTGTGTTAAAAATTGACAGTAAACGTCAATATCAGATGACAAAATGACAAGAAAGTTGACTTTTTGCATCGTCCTAATTTACATAATGCAGCTTAAAAACATTCTGAACCATTTCCTTACCCCGATAGTGTTTTGACCAGATCACTCTGAGACAAGAACACGAGGAACCATAGGACGGCCGCTACTAACGGACGTGCAGGTCCCGTCATGACGTTGGCTTCAACAGCGTTATTCTGTAAAAAGAGAGTATAAAATATATAGTATGAATTAGCCTGCAGCTGGTATCAATTCTATCGTGGTTGGAGCAGGATTTCGTCGGGGCTCTAGTAGTTTTCCCCCGCCCAGATCAACAGGCCGCCCGGTGAGCGTTTAGCACGGCAGGCAGGAATTTGATTAGCTCCACCAAAATTATCATGGTGGGGTAAATTGAACTGTCGTTGTGCAAACCTACCGGGGAGCCCATGCTAGTAAAGTCTGGCTGCAAAGAACCCCTGAAGCTCCGAAGAGAACCCGACCAAACCACGATATACTGGACACCAGGCTATCGAGTCAAGGCCATATTTTAGCTACATTATCTCTACCCCACCAGACCTAGAGTGCTACCATCATCTTTCGAGATGGAAGGATGCCTACTACTATCTCTACCCCATCCTGTGTTCTATATCGAATGTAACACGTACGCACGCACACATAAACACACACACACACACACACACACACACACACACACACACACACACACACAAACACACACATACACATAAACTATAAACTATATATATAAACTATAAACTATACGGGATAGCTGTTCTTGTTATTTCGAAGATGAGAAAAAAAAGCACGTATTCAAAATTGCTTTACCTTTGCCCTTTTAGACAATCATCAAACGTCCGTAGTAGATCGCCACGATACAGCCCATATAACGCTTCTACCGTGTGTTCACAACAGTGTACCCTTTGAAAAGAAACAAACAAACAAACAAACAAACAAAACAAATTCTCTGTGCGATAGGCGCACTAAAACGCCCAACGTAGCGTCCGTGGATTATGACTGGACAGACTTCCCATAACCAAAACACTCCCTCCAACCGGCGGTGGTTACAAAAATTGTTTTGACACTTTACCGGCAGACCTAGGGCGAAACCATTGTATCGACAGGTAGGGAACATGTTTAAAATAACTGCGGGAAAGGGCATCGATATATACCAACTTTGATGTTTTTATTTTAGTATGATGTAGGCTGACTTGTGTTGTATCTAGAAATACTGTATTTTCTTATTTTCAAAGGATGTGAACAAATGACTGAGCATCATCACCCCTACACAGAAGGTACCAAACGACACCTGTAGCTGTAGCTACGAGCAAGTAACTGTCACCTGCGACAAAGTAATGTCGTTAGCTGGAGTTAAGTGATGACATTTTAAATATTAATGACGGCGTCTGTATGGACAACAATGTATGGGTATGCATGGCTTGCCAATTTTCCGGTGCCAATTATTTTCAGTCATTGTGCACGCCACCTTATATAGATATGGTAATAATGGCACATTATCTAATATGATAATAATGGCACATCGGATGTATGAATTCAAAACGCCATGATGTGCGATACACATGCCAGGAGGCGTAATGAATTATAACCCTTTTACTGAAATGCCCAAATTCTCACAAAACATATGGTTGTCGTGGTTTTACCATCGCCATAAGCAAGAAGGTATAATATGCTTTCGAAGGTGCTCCTGTGCGCGTGTGTGTGCAAGAAGGCTTTGAGGGATTGTTTTGATATTTGATATATGAGCAGGTCTTGATGAGACCTTGAAATGATTCCATTTTTGGCACACTGGCGGTTTGTTTTGGTACTGCAGCTGGAATTCGGGGGGTTTGATATCTCATGATCTGGACATGCTACTGTGATGGTATTACTTTCAGCCTGGATATCACTCTCCGTAGTTACCGCTGACTCTCTCCTGTTGTTAGATATGTAGGCGTTGCCAATGTATTACCTTTTCTGAAACGTTGAACTCGCAGCACTGTCTGTGGGGAGGGGGGCTACTGCACAGGGACACACCGATTTAATTTTATGGATTACATCCTCTGAAGACCCCCAAACTAGTGAGCGCGGGCGAATAAAAAAAGATTCCGGTCAAAAATAAAAATGCTACAAAACCACAGGAATACACAGCTCAGGTATTGTGAATTCGCGGCAATACATAGCGACGTATACGACAAGCCGGTACATATGCTGGATTTTTGCGGAATTTATGAATCAGCATTGTACGTATTGTACATGTACTGAGTTATTGAGTCGTGGAGCTTCAGTAGCCTGGGTGCCTTCCTCCATAGTTACCAAACGGCTCAGTATTGTTCCTTACAACTCCCATGGACTACCCAGGCCTAGAGCCAGGCCAGAGCCTCGGAGAACGTGATCTTTTTTTTTCTTTTTTTTTTGAGAACAGGCGAAAATCAATGCGCGCGTGGATGTCATCCAGAAAATTAAGTCGGTGTGGCCTAACATGGAAGGTACAAAGTAGTATGGAAAAATTCTTGGCGCTTGCCAAGTCTAATGTGAGAGGTACATATAGCCAGGAGTAAGCTGTGCCATATGGTGTTAAAAAATATGTCGGCTTTCAAACTGTATGATTTGGATTTAAATTTTCCTGTTCTTGTATATTTAAAAAATGCGCTGTATTAAGCCTCGGTCACAACCCGCCGTACATGCTTTTTGTCCGTACGTTTTTTGGGAGGCTACGTCTGCTACGTTTTTTCTGAAAACGTGGGGAAGGAGTGGCATCGACGCACGTCACTCGCACGTCACTCGCGCGGTTTCGCAAGGTGTAAGAGTGTGGTCTGCACGCCACGTCTGGCCGTGAGCGGTTGCGTGCATCATACGTTGCGCAAGTGGTAAGTGAGTTGTACGTGCTTACAACGTACGATCTCTGTGCGATTGCAACTTTACCGCAAGGAGGCCGTACTCACACGTGCTTCTTCCGCACGGCACGTACGCACCCCCATGAAACTCCTTCCTCTTCGCCCCCGCCGTTCTGCTTCGCCCCCGCCCCGTTCTGCTTCGCCCCCGCAAAAAATTTGCTTCGCCCCCGTCGTTCCTCTACGCCCCCGACGCAATTCTGCTTTGCCCCCGTCCTTCTGCTTAGCCCCCAATGGCGGCACAGCTCACAGTCGACACGAAAATCGTCTGCAAAATAACAATAAAGGCTGTGCCGCCAAATTTAAAGTAGCCCATGCTCCGGCAAACATTCTGGACCACCTTTCTGCCAAGTGGCGTTGCACAAATCCTTCCCATTCAAAAGTTTACCCCTACCTCACGGCCCGTCAGTGGTTCTTACGTTTATAAGTACTGGCGGGAAATTTCACTCACGGCTGTACTTATAAACGCCAGTACTTATAAACGTAAGAACCACTGACGGGCCGTGAGGTAGGGGTAAACTTTTGAATGGGAAGGATTTGTGCAACGCCACTTGGCAGAAAGGTGGTCCAGAATGTTTGCCGGAGCATGGGCTACTTTAAATTTGGCGGCACAGCCTTTATTGTTATTTTGCAGACGATTTTCGTGTCGACTGTGAGCTGTGCCGCCATTGGGGGCTAAGCAGAAGGACGGGGGCAAAGCAGAATTGCGTCGGGGGCGTAGAGGAACGACGGGGGCGAAGCAGATTTTTTTGCGGGGGCGAAGCAGAACGGGGCGGGGGCGAAGCAGAACGGCGGGGGCGAAGAGGAAGGAGTTTCATGGGGGTGGTACGGGGCACGCGAGTCACTCGTACTCGCACGCACGGGTGGTGAATCCGCAGACCGCACTTAGAAAAAGTTTTACATGCACTTAAAGTTCTACGGCGTGTCTGCGTGCTCCCAAATCCGTAGGATCCCGTACGGAGGCAGTACTCACCACGCCCGGATGCCCTAAGTTTGCCCACGTTTTTGCACGTAGACAGCACGCAGAAGCACGTACAGCGGGTTGTGACCGTAGCATTAGGCATCTGCGTTCTAGGGTGAGCCGGCTACAGTTCAATTGACCTCCGCAGGGCGCCATTTAAAAGAGGGCCTCAAGTGCGGGGTGCTACTACATGAAATTTAAACAGGTTCATAAACTACACTTCTTGTCACCGAAGCTTCCGAGAATTGCCTAAATGGATGAAATAGTATGAAGTACTTCATTTAACTACCCATGTTTGATAAAAATTATTTCAACAAAAATATTCTTTGCATTGGCTTAATTTGGGACAAAATAAGAAATTTAAACAGGTTCATATACTACAATCTCCACGACAGCCCATGCTGTGATACCCAGTTATCTTTTGCTGTTTTAGGTGACATTGATAGCACACGAGTTGTTTGTGAGTGCTGCGGCAATTTAGCCTTTTTTCAAATGATCAACTGGCATTTACTCTTATAGCTTCTCATAACTATGTTATGTTGTCCAACTATGGTGTTTAGACTGTCCTTTCAGGCCTTTCTTTCAGACTGTCCGACTGTAGTGTAGAATATTCCGCTTTGTTCATAAGGGACGATTTCGCAGCCCCAGAAAAAGCATTGTCTTGAAATGTCTTGAACCTTGCATCGGCTCCTTGGTCTTGGGATGTCTCAAGCTGAAAGTCAGGCCACTCTGCTCGTCGTTTTGCTACACTGTCCTCTGAAACTATCCACCAAAGCACGACCAGTTTGGGCCAGAGCCAGCCACGGGCTTATGCCTCTACAAGCAGAACCTTCTCTGAGCTACTCCTGTGTGTGAAGGTGAACATAATTAAACATAACTTATTCAAATAAGGACCTTATTTGCATGATTTATGACTATAATGGCATTCTTTGTTACGATAAGACTGGCGGATCGTCATGATTTTTGGTGTGTAGGTAGCTAAAGTGATGCCTGACATAATTATGTGACAATTATGTAATTTGCATAATTTATGAGGAAATTCTATAAATCAGCTGCGTTACATGCTAGGACTATTCAATCTGCAGTGGCATAGTTACTTCCGCATGCGTTGCGTTTCGCTGCGGTGTGATGCGTTGCACGAGAAATACCCCAAAATTGTACCTATACAGAGTTCTAGAGTTCTATATAGATTGTACTGTAAGAACTTCGCGATTACGTCATTGTGAAGGTATGACGGCGGCCAATTTGTGAACGCTAGGCTCTAGCCCAAACTTCAACACAACTAGACGTAGCAAAAATCAGACATACCTTACTTTGAAAACTTTGAAATGATCTTTATTCTTTAACTGACCGTTCTAGAATGTTATTTAGAACAGGTAAACAAACTGGTAATAATGGTATAGGTCCATTGTGGCTAATGAATGAATGAATGAATGAAGAGACCTTTATTCTACACACATACCCACTGGTCACAACAAAAGAATGGAATACAGATGACGTTACATATACACATTGTCAAGTAGCTACAATTATTTTTTTTTCTCGTTTCTTAGTAATGGTAAAAAAGTAAGAACGGGTATGCTTCAGAATAGGAGGTTAATAGACATGGCAGCTTTTGAAATCCACACGACCGCAGGTTTGCGCAAGCTGGCACCTGATTGGTCAGGCGAGAATTGGATTGTTCTCCAGAATATCATGTTACAAAAAACAAGCAAGCTAACGTTGCAATGACCTGTAGGACACCCAGGCACCATAGTAACTCCATAAGATTATGTCAGGGAAGCAGAACAAGACAGAGACGTCTTTTACATGACTGTGAGTTCTTTTATTTGTATAGTATCGCTGCTATCCAATGTAACGATGTTTCAGCAGTGTTTAAATCAACATGTTTCCCTTCTAACGTTATGCATTCTCCCTTCCTAACGTAACATAGTTTGAAGGTCGTTACACTGGATAATGCTCATGCTGAATAAACAGTCGGCACTGCATATTTGTTACCCTGGATGCAAGACTAGTATCGGGCCGTTAACCGTTTTCCTTCGGCAGCCAAGAGCCCCTCCCCCGCCTATCTAAATTACCGCTACGGGGGACTTGAGCCCGAGGGGTTTGTAGGGCCAGCCAAACTCCCCAGCCTGGGCTAGACTCCCCCGTAGCGGTAATTTACACCAGCGGGCGAAGGGCTCTTGCGGCCCGGAAAACGAGTTCTGGCTTCCAGGGTACATATTTGTGGACAGTGACTCTAAAATCTACTCAGTAGAGGAAGGGTAGTACTGTATATAATGCCGAGTTTTGTGCGTAATTGTGCCCCACAAACTCACGCCTAATGATGTCCTTTTTTTTCGAAATAGAGCACCAGTCAGCCATGGGGAAGTTAAAGTCGTTTGTCGTCACTTTCGACAACAACAAGGACGTGTACCAGGCAGGGGAGATCGTCAGCGGGAAGCTGATCGCAGACGTTACCGAAGGAATAAAAGCCAGAGGTGTGATATATGATTTATAATAATAAAAAATTTGGTACCACAGTGGCCAGGTTTAAAGGTCTATAAGGAAACAGAAGTACGGTCTTTAGAATAAACATGTTTGTCACCTAGCGTCACCTAGTGTCAAGTTTCCCATCATGTTTTTCATGTGACGGTACTTGCGCCATGTTGGATTCCACCTAAACGCTGCTGCTGTAATGTATGTACCCACAAACATTGTCACTGGGCATTCAAATTAATATTAGTATGACTCAACTGAAAATCTCTATTCTCTGTAATGCCATATTGTACCCCTCCCCATTGCTGAATGTTATGATATCGTTGCCCCAATGGTGTGAATTAATTACCTTTGCCAAGAGGGTTACGTTTTCAGAGGCGTTTGTGTCTATCCGTCTGTGTGTGTGTGTGTGTGTGTGTGTGTGGTGTGTGTGTGTGGCTGTGTGTGTGGCTGTGTGGCTGTGTGTGTGTGTGTGTGTCTGTAAACACGATAACTCGAGAAGGCTTAAATTGATTGTCTTGATACTTGGTATGTGGGTAGGTCTTGATGAGACATCGAAATGATTGGATTTTAGGCCCCCTAGTGGCTTGTTTTGATATCTCATGATCTAGATATGCTAGGGTCACGAAATCTGAATAGTAGGTAGCTGCTGTGATCTATGTGACGTGAGTATGGGCTTCCTAGCGGCTTGCTCTGGAAATGCAGGGGCATTTCTTGAAAAATATTAAAATGAGGATATTAACTTAAGAACTGGTTGACGGATCGTCCTGATTTTATCTACAATTCGTCAGTCATAAAGGTTAACATCATTTGGCGAAGGCAAGAGGTCGTGGAACTGGAGTTTAGTATTGTTTACTCGCATAAGAATACAGGTATGTTTTTTGTCTGTCTGTGTATCTGTATGTGTGCGTGTGCTCCACGTGTTTCTGCAGGTTGTAATGAATATAAGGTTGGGATCAGTTTGTCCAAAGAGTAAAAACGCATGAGGTGCTTATCCCTGATGAACTGATGTCTGCCATCTGATGACTAGTGATGATATGCTGATGAAATAAGGATAACTAAAGAACCAGTTGGCGGATCGTTGTGAGTTTTTATCTGTAGGTAGCTTGACATAATTAGATGACAATTATGCAGATATGGATTTAATTTGCATAATTACATCTAAATTATAAAAATTATAGAAATTATGAAAATTATAAAAATTATAAAAATTATAAAAATTATAAAAATTATAAAAATTATAAAATTATAAAATTATAAAATTATA